GTCAGAGCGCTGCCCCGGGGTGGAAGTGGCCGGAAGTATCTCGACCTCCGTCTTGACAATCCGACAGCCTTACTATCCGACAAAGAAGGTTTTACATTTGGTGTCGGATTATCAAGTCACGACTGTATTAATATGTTTCGTAGTATTCAAAAAAGCGTATCTATATGAACAGATGCACGGTCATTGATAATACACTGCTATGCAAGTTACTAGCATTTTAGTTTTTACTGAATTTATTTCCTTTCTTTTGATAACTAATGATATTTGTTATGTTAAGGCAGCATATTACTCAGAATGTATTGCTTGTTCACTCATAGTTGCTTGTAATTCTGGCATAAAAAGCATTCTCCCCTCACGCAGACGAAGGATACACTCATGGTGATTGTGTCATTTATTTTATGGAAGCTCTAGCGTGTGCTGTGCATGTACATGTGCCGTGGCTGCTTATATTAATACTTGGCTCTTTCTCTTGCTCTGGCAGAGAATCCCGTCTGCCGGTGCCGCCTGCTGGTCACCGCTGGAAGGAAGTTCGACACGACAACTCTGTGACATGGCTGGCCAGCTGGACAGAAAACATCCAGGGCTCCATTAAATACATCATGCTCAATGCCAACTCCAAACTCAAGGTAATCAGTCTGCTGTAAACGGGGAGAAAATGCACATGCTGCTGTTGGCTCAAGCACTTCTGTTTGTCAAAGGCTGCAACCGGCTTAGGTGTGAATAATTATTTTCCTTTTATTTAAGCAGTTCTCCCAGACACAAAAACTATTTGTTTCCTCTTTTAATTCTAGGACAGACAGGCTTATTCTGTGTTTGATGAGATTTCGAGCCAACATTGTAGGCTTTTATTTGGTTTTCCATTTGCTAAATTTATCCAGCCTTCCAACAAATACCTGAATGCTCCACCAGACAAGTTGCCATAGCAGCTTCAGCTTTTTATTTTTTTCATAGACACCAGTCACTGCTTGAAAGGTTAAAACGAAATCTTTTAATCAAACCTTAATATCGTCTTTGGAAAGTAGTTAGCGATGTTTGCAAGTCAGATATGATGAAACTAATGAGACACAAACAACTAAAATGGTTCCTGTCTTTATTGGACAAACATATTAAACATTCACTGTAGCGTTGGCCACAATAAGTGAACCCTTGGATTTATTTGCTGTTCAGAACTCCCTTGACAGCAGTGATCGCAAAAAGTTTGCTAAACTTTTGTAGAACTGCTCCAGCTCAGCCGTTTCACTGGAACGTCTGACGTCTGCTCTCTTGAGGTCCTTCCACAGCATCTCTAATGGATGAAGGTCTGGGCTCTGTCCCTGCCACCTTTGCTGTGACACAACGGGGACGCCGTTCCTCTGCATCAGCTTCTATGAGTCTTCACCCTGACGCGATCCTTTAAGATGCCCTGATAACTCGGGCAGTTCATTTTCTCCTTGATGGTGGTGAAGTGAACAGACCCGGAGGCAGCGCTGACACTTCCTCGTTCATCACTGCTGCACTGTTTTCATATTGATATGCGGTGCCCTTTTTGCACATTTCCCAGCGCTGTGTGCTCTTCCAAAACAATTCAGCCTCGGTTTCGTCAGCCTATAAAACATTTTCCTACCAGCTTTGTGGATTTTATTTGAGCCTTTGAATGTTTGAATGATGTATTCAGTATGAGTGAGAACTACATAATAATTAGTGTGCTATCAGTTAAAACCTCTGAACAGAGTCCTCATTGCAACAACTTAATCAGATCAAATGTGGTTTGTTTTGGTTGTCTTTCAGTGATGTTTTCTCGACAGTTGTTTCCTTTTTCACTTGCTAACATTTCCCCACCTGGGCTTGTTTACAGTGAAACTTTTAAGCGAGGATGGAAAGTGGAGCTCTGCCGGTTTTACATCTGCTCACATGTCTTGTGGTTTGCTGTTTGTGGATAAAGTCTTTTCTAACTCCAGAGGGAGCTACAACAAATCAGATAGTTTCCACATATCAAATAATTTCAGTCTACTGCAGCTTAAGTTTGAAAAAATTCTGTGAGGTTCAAAGAAGTGAACTTACGCGATGTCTTCTGGTTGTGCCTCGTTCAAGCTGAGTCCATCACTTCATGGTTTTATTAGCTTGCATAACAAACAGCATCCCCAAATCTCCAACGGGACTGAAGGTGGTGTTTGACTTTTAAGGCACTTCAAAGCGTCCGATAAGCTTTCCTTCTTCAGTCCTGGTTCTTTGAGGTCAGCTTGATGTTGTTGAGTTTCCAAATATTAATTGCCAGCCTGCCTCTTGCTTATCACACACAAAGCTGATTTACCAAAACTATTTATATGATGGGAATTCAGCGAAAACTAGATTTGGAATTACAAAAGCAATCACGAGACATTAACACGTTTGCAGCAAGTTACGTTGATTTTAAATGCAAGTGAATGTAAATGTCTTTAAACAAAATTCCACAGCATCTCAGGTTAACGTCTGCCCTCTGAACCAAGTCCTTTTGATGTTTTGGTTCATTGTTCTTCTGCAGAGCTTCAGCCGGTGGGCAGCCAAACTGACATTATCCTTTAAGACACTCTGATAACTTGTGACTGCATTGCAATTAAATTGCAAATAAACTTGTGCAGCGTTTTGTTATTCTTTTCCTCCCGCTCTCATTTCTCTCCTCTGTCTGCTCGCTCTTCCTTCTTTCCATCTTTCATTTGGAAAGGTTAAGTTATTCCACTGTTAGTCTCCATGACAATATGCATGCGTGTTGACTGATGGCCGGTTTAATTGTGTCTTGGTTCCAATATACAACCAGCAGAAAGTGGCACACGAAGGGAATTTATCACTGAAGTTGTGCGTCTCAGTGTTATTCTATAGCACCCTGCGTTCATGTCATGATTACCATATTGAATGTTTTGATTTGAGGCTTTTCAAATGACTTTCTGTTTTCGTGTTTTCACTTTAGTTCTTTGCTTCATGTTGACTTTTCTCCTCTTTCCTCTGTCTCCGTATCTTTATCTCAATCACTTCCGTTTCCTCACTTGTTCCCTTCCTTGCCAATCTTCTCTTTTTGTCTGCTTCCTCCTCCCTTTCCTTCCCACCATCCTCTGAATGCAGGGAGAGAAGGACTGGGAGAAGTACGAGGTCGCTCGGAAGCTCAAGACGTGTGTGGACGACATCCGCAACCAGTACCTCCGCGATCTGAAGTCCAAAGAGATGGTGACACGCCAGAGAGCCGTGGCCCTGTACTTCATAGACAAGGTCTGGCTTCATGTCATTGCACAGCACCAGTTGTACACTACTGTAGTACCAGGACCTATGTGCGCCTTTATGTTATGTCAAATAGACGACTACTGTGCAGTCCTTTACGTGGGTATATGTACACATCTAATGGTCATCTAAATGTTTTTCTCCGTGACGCGGCGGGACGGCGATAAGAATGCTGGCCGTGTATTTGTGGGTTGTGGCTGTAATCTCTGTATCTTTTGACCTAAAAAAAAAAAAGCTGGCCCTGAGAGCTGGTAATGAGAAAGAGGAGGGAGAGACAGCGGACACGGTGGGCTGCTGCTCGCTTCGCATCGAGCACATCACCCTGCACGAGCAGCTCGACGGCAACGAGTGTGTGGTGGAGTTCGACTTCCTGGGTAAAGACTCCATCCGTTATTACAACAAGGTCCCCGTCATCAGGAAGGTAAAGAATGAACACACACATCCGTCCTCTCCCCCGTTAATTTGAGGATTGTTTGGACCTAAAATCTGTATTTTGGGAATACAATATTTGAGATAATACAATCTGTCCCTTCTCAGTAGAGGACATCAGCAGAAGACACTGGTTGTTTTCCTGCTGATACACACCCAGTGTTTTCATTGTGATAATGTAGGTTTTGCCCTTTGGGTTTTGGCAGAAGTCCCTGCAGAGAAGGTCATTTGCTTGCATGTCGATATGCACGGAGCCTGCAGCACGGAGGAAACTGAGAATTGTCCTGAGGACTCGGTCGTAGATTGGATTCCTGCGGCTGTAGCGGTTTAATTTGTTTGTCTGTTAGAATAGTTCAGCTGCTCCAGTCTGCCTCTCTTGGAATCCGTCTTAACGGAGGGACGTTTTAAACCCACAAACCCAGAGCTGGTCAGTGTGCCCGAGCATCCTACTGTGATTTGAATAGTTTGGTCAACTTTCTGCTCTGTAAACAGCACTTGGTCGTCTGCTGGAGCAATAACGGTCCTGATCTCATCTTGTCTGATGAGACAGAATTACCAATATTACGGCACAGTTTCGACTCACATGAGGTGGAATGGCATTTATCTTTATTTCAAGCGTTTTCTAAGTTGAATTGCAGCTTTCGATGGGTTTTCACTCATGACAACAGGATGCTTAGTCTGAAGCTGCCCTGAAAGTCCCTGAATCTCTTGGCCACAGGACTGCTGGACACAGTTGAGTCACTAATGGCTTCGCTGTTGAGCCACGGGGCAGAGGTTTGTGTTTGTTCAGACTCTGTTTTGTGCAAATGTTTATATGGGTGACTTTTTTTTTTTTTTTTTTTTTAATGAGAAGACATGTAGAATAAAGAGATTTTGATGGAAAAAGGCTTAAACAGACCAAGGTCTCTGACAAGGCTTCATAACTCAATCATTTAAATAGATTACTGTGATCAACAAATTGTAAAAATCAGCAGCAGAGGCAGAGAAAGCCTTCATTCTAGTTCTTCGTATGGCTCAAGCTCACATCATATACTATGTCTTCTATGATTATCTTAATAGCATCTTTTTCTCCAACCTGCCCACTAAATATCTTTCTTTTCTTTTCTTTCTTTATCACGTCAATCAGAGCCACGTGTGCTCCTTGTGACAAGTTAAGTAGACTTTCAGAGCCATTTAAGGGTTATTTTCACAGCATAAAGACTATAATGACAGGAAGCTTGTTGAAGCTTACTCAGAATTTCCCCTGTGCTTCAGATTCAAGGTACAACTTAATAGCTTGTTGCGGACGTTCACGGCCACCTTCTATGTTTTTATTAAGCCATTCTGCCCCTTTGGTTTCTTATATCGTAAACTTCTGTGACTGACCAAAAGCAAAATCACTGAAGGTTAATGGAATATAAGTAATGTGGACTAATCAGTGTTGTATTGTTTTCAGATTGGCTTTGTTGTCCTGCATTGTGATGTAATTTTGTGCCAAACCTTTTGTTGGAAGGCCTTTTAATGTCAGGTGTCCACACAGGCTGTATTAATGCCTGACTGGCCAAGTGTTTTATCTGATAATAGTAAACGATGACACAGACTGTAATGAGCAGGTTAGCCAGTGGAAGAAAAGAAAATGCGCCTGGAAACTTTTTTTTTTTCCTGCTCTCTTGTTTAGTTGTCCGCAATCTGTCAGACAGCTGTCACATTTATGTGTGTGTGCATGTATGCATATGTAAATTTCCAACCCCTCCTCTGGTGTCGGCCCATGCTATCTGCTATTCCAGAGATGGAAAAACAAATGTTAGCACCTGACAGCCAAAGTGTTTTGTTTCTTGGCAGAACATATAATTATTCAAATGAGTGCATTCAAAAGCATCACATTAGCTAGAATTAATTAGTCCCTGCATATTTTTGCATCATCAATTCCCTGGCAAATCAGTGAGATTGCTAGTAAATGTCACTTGGAATAAAATGGAACAAGAATGGAGGGAAAGAATTTCTATTTGGGACCCCTGGAGATGGTTGAAGTCATTGAATCTTATTCTTGGGGTCTGTATCCGGCTTATGCAGTATATACTGCATATGCAGTTTCTGCTGTTTCTGCACAATTTCTTCTTTCAGAGATCACGGGCCGCTACTGGGAATGCATGCAAAAACGGTTAAAGGTAAAACCTCGCAAGGCATGCTGTGGACCGGCAACACTGTACGTCCCATATGCAATTTATTGGGAAATAAGTTCCATTAGTGGTTCTCAGTGCAGAATAGGAGAGAGTGAATACGAACGCTGCTTTGCATTTCTTTGCCTTTCTCCACCAAAGAATGCTGTAAAAAAAAACAGGCTGTTCAGTGCATCAGTGTGTCTGTTTATTGTTCAAAAACAAGCATCAGCTGCACTTATTACTCAATTTAACACAAGTTAGAAGACTGAATGACTTCATCACATCAGCCTGGTGTGTGTGAGGGCGTATGCAGATGCATATTGTGCTCGGTACGGTCAACCTGCAGAGCATTTATTTCTAAATGATGACTTCCAAACACCCACATACTTACCCAAACACATCACAAAAACCAATTAGGTGAGCTCACTTTGGTGTCTCTGCTGCGCTGAGACTTTAAGACTGATTTACATTTTCATCCCCAAAAGTACCGGCACTTTTTATAGATTCGGTTTAATTTCCAAGGGGAGTGGAATTGACACACATATCAGCTCAGTGGATATGTCAGTGTGGTTTTAAATCAACACATCTGTTGCTATTAATTGGTGTCTTGCATATTTTACTGGTTTATTTGGGGAACGGATGCGTCTGTGGAACCCACAGTGTCACTGGAAATGTCAGATGTAATTGTGCCTGTTTTACTCCCCTGGCTCTGCTCGAAGATGGACAAATGGAGTCAGGCTCCGACACTCAGTGCACTATAACGTGCATGTATTCGTGCACTGTACATGTGTTTCGTATCGGAGTTGTAAACCAGCCGCTGTCACTTCACACCTTTTTCTGTTTATTAGTTTCACTTTTAATGTTTTGCAGCCAAGAGATTCAAATGGTCCCGGTCCTCCTCAGTGTGACGCACGATTTTGATTCCAAATTTGAATGATTAAGTTTGAGTGGAACATATTAAGCTATTAAATTTGTTTTTATGACATACGCCTGTAAAAGCCCTTCAGTCTGATTTGTCTGTATGTCTTTTCAGGTTTTTAAAAATCTTAGACTTTTCATGGAGAACAAGCAACCTGGAGACGACCTGTTTGACCGCCTTAATGTGAGTATCTGAGCAGCTGTCTGTGCACCTGCTTCCTTTAGTATTTTATATTCTTTTTTTCTGACTTTTGTGTATCATTGCCACTTGCTAAACCACATTCTGGTGTCAAAAGCAGCTGGTTGAACAATGGCTTCATCTGCAGGTGAAAACTGATCACATATAGTTTTAATAATTGCTAACTTTGTGTGTTTAAAGTGTGACGTGCTCCCCTGAGGTGTGTAATATTTGAGGAAAGTGCAGAAAAAGACGGTGAAAGCGAAATAGAATTGCATTTTTAAAAAATATATTTTCTAGGCACAGAAAGCTGCGGTGAAGGAAAAGCAGGGACTAAATTGTAAAGGGTAAGAGATGAGATTGAATGAGGATGAGCCGTTGGTGTGGAGAGATGAAAAGGGCGAAGTGAGGAAACGGGAGGTGAGAAGAAGGGGAAGAATATTGGAAGCGGGGCGACTGAAAGCAGAAAAGGAGTTTCAAAAGAGAGAGGGGATGGACTCCGGCAGATAAAAATGAAACTGCGGTAGTGAAAATTGAGAGTGAACATGCTGGGCGGATGAATTTCCACACATAAAAATCTGGTGTCCTCTCAACCTCTTCCTCTAGCTGCAGGCGGCGAGGCCACACAAATTGCAGCAGTTGTACATGCGGTTAGTCCACCAGCGTCGAATGTGTAGCTCTTAGGCTGCACTCAGTCTTTAAAAACACACATCGTTTGTCTTTTTGAGACAATAACCCAGGCTACCAGGCAGAATTACTCAGTATGTAGTTCTTTGACGTGAACCCCAGACTACTGAGGCAGCTGCTCGTGGTGTGGCGACCTCGGGTGAAGCGCTCTGATTGCAGAGACGCAGCCTCGTTTCGCTATATGTTGAAGTGGAGCGAGGCAGTAGGTGGAAACTTATGCAGCACATGAGTGGCTACCTTGGTGGAATGAGTCTGCTGAGGTGGAGGGAGAAAAAAGGTGGCCGATAAGAAGGCACGTGGAAGATTAGAGGGCCAGCCACGTGAATCTTATATTAAGATTGACAGGCAGGAAGAGGAAGATGCAGCACAGGACAGGAATGTGAGCGCGAGATGAAGAGACTGAGCAATTGAAGGAGGGAGTGCGGTGCCGCTGCTCTCTGCCCTCCAGTATGTCAGGAAATGTCAGTGTGTGTTGGAGGTGGAATGGTAATGGCTGCTGAGGGCAGGCCTGATTGACACCCAGAAAGGCCAGGACACGGAGAGAGTGGAGGGAGGAGAGGTCTGGAGAAGTAGATGGAGCAGTAGGAAAGTTGACAGCTGGCCAGGGCGAGGGGTGGTTAAGAGGGAGAAGGTGGACGAAGGCTGGATAAAGGTGGGAGGTGAAAGGAAGGGAGGACGGCGGCGGAGAGGAGAAGTGACAGCCGGGCAGCTGCAGTTAGGCCGAAATGAGGAGCAGGAGAGGAAGGGAAGATGAATGGAAATGTGGCGCGTGCTGCTATCGTCAGCTGGCCTAATGGAGACAGAAGCTGGAGAAAGACTGAACGTTAAATGAGAAAAACGTGAAGAAGGAAAGGAGCTGAAAGCCTGAAACAGCCTCTGACATTTGGGCCCAGATGAGCCTGCCCGGTGAGCCCGTTGTTAATCGTTCCAAGTCGGATCTCTTGTTTGAACACGAGGTAACAGAGTGAGTAGTTTTATTTGTGTATGACAGACTCCCTAAACAAAAGGCTACAACAAGGGCTCACACAGACTCAAACTTGTCTGTCAAATCAAGTCTTCTAAGAACAGGGTCCTGCAGGCTCAGTGGTGTTAGAGCGTCAGTATCCTTGAAACAAACTACCTAATATGATTTGGAGTTCAGCCATGTTTCAAGGTAAAAGTGTTCCAAATGGCCACACTAGAAGGCTGTGTGAGAAGCCTGCCATCAGAGGGATGAGGGAGACACAGAAATGTACAATTTGAGATAACAGCATGCACTTGGCGTTCAGGCTTGTTTCAGAAAACCTGTTCGCTGGTTGAAGTCTGCTGACGCCGTTTAAAATTACAGGAGCGGACTTTCTATCCTCCTGCTTTTATTTACATATTCAAGTTTGCTTTAAAAAAAAAACCCTAAGTGGAAATAGCAAAATGTTTTTTGTAAGAAAATGTTGACACTTAGCTGGAAACGGGCTAATAAATCATGACAGATGTGATGCATTTAGTAAACATCCCCCGAAGCTGCTCTCTGGTGGAGAGACCAACAGAACCGAAACACTACACAACAAAAACATTGGATCCAAAGAGTAATCATAAATGCCATATTTACAGCATGTTTCCTGCATTTTTCACCATTTGAGATTCAGCTACTACTTGGTTTAATAGCAACATCTCACTGCACACTCCTCCTCTGTGGTGGTTAATCCTCACCAGGGTCATGGGGTCTGGAGTCTATCCCAGCTGACTCACGGTGAAGGCAGGTTCACCTGGACAGGTAACCAGTCTATCACAGGGCTCAGTTAGAGACAGACAACCAAGCACACTCACATTCACACCTACGGACAATTTACAATCACCAATTAACCTCAGCATGTTTCTGGACTGTGGGAGGAAGCCGGAGAACCCGGAGAGGCAACCAGCTGCGCCACCTTGCAGCCCCTTAATAAACCACCTCCTGATATTTGCGTAACTGTAGTGGATGTAAATGCACGTGGTTTGCACATTAATTTAAAGATTATGCACATTTAGAGTGAAAACTAGCTTGTGAAACAAAAAGTCAAAACGATGCAAACACACCGAATGTGTGCGACATATTTGTGAAAGGGATTTAGATGAATTCTTCAAACTGACTCGGGTTGTTCGGACGGAGACACGGCTGAGCAGTGATGCTACAACACAGCCTGTCATTAAAGCATAATGTCCAAATAATGTTCAAATCCAGCTCAGGAGCTCGTTCCCTCCTTTCTGTCCTACTCCAACCTGCCTCTGGCGACAACATGCGTCGCTGAAATGCGGTTTTGAGTTGGCAAAAATGATGCAGTAGCGTGCTCAGAGCAGCTGTTATGGCTTCAGCTTTCAAGTAACTGTGAGCAGTTCGGTACTGGAACATCTCGTCGTACTCGAGTAATGTTTCAGAGAGAGATGTTGCTCATCAATATAAGATTGCAAAACGCTTCGCTGGGAGGATGGTGGTTTTTCTGAGCAGGCACAGATACCACGTTGAGGTCTGAGCTGAAAATGCAAGTGCTGCTCTCTGGAGTCCGTGTCATTAACACCACAGTGCACACACTACCTGAAGACCCAGATTAACTGCAGCTCCACTCTGTTTCATTAACTACATCTGAGTCGACTGCAGTGTAGCATAATCCCTATGAGCTGCTTTATTTGGCATGTTTACTTGTTTTCCCTCCTCTCTGTTGCGTCCTTTGTCTTTGTTACACTGAAGAGAGACACACACACAAACTGGAAGTGGCAAAAAAAGAAAATGAAAAGCAGATGATCATAGCTACTTTAGAATGGCAACAGTCAATATTTGTCCCTGGCGTTAGCTGCCATCACCACAAATTGGCTAGCAGGATGTTAATGAGAAAGTCCAGTATGCTGCATCCTGTATTATAGAAAGGAAATTAGAACTGCAGTAATGGCACGTTGAAGTAATGCCTTAGGAGATGACATGGATGACATACACAAACACACACCAGACTGTGCACACACAACACAGGGGTGCCGGGGGAGTCGGGGGGCGTGTGAGAGCTATCCTACTTGCCCCTCAGACTCCTTCATTAGCATTGCAGGGGCAGAGTTAGGAAGCTCATTAGCAAGGCATGCACGGAGGCACAGCGTGTAAGTGCAAATGCGTATACCTGCGTCTGCCTACCTGCTCTCCAGCACATGCATTCACACGCACGTATGTATGGATGAAAACACGGCATCGTTCTGTTTCTAATAGGCTCCTGCAGTGACACACAAATATTGATACGGGTCTGCGGCCTCAGACAGCCGGGTCCCGACCCCGGTCTGATTAAACCAGCCACATCATTACTGTGCTGCTCATCAGAATCATTTCTTCCTTTGTTAGAGCTCGGAGCTCTTCAGCCAGCCCGTCTGTATGCGTTCAGGTACATTTAAAAACCAATGTGTTGCCTTTCCAAGTCCACATGTTTGCAGCTCATATCAGTCTGTGTGCAGTGAGCATGTGTTTGTTTTGCTGTCACACCGGTGTGCACCCGTGCGCTGTTAACCGTGTTTCGTCACTGTGTGGTTCTGTCCAAACCGCTGTCGTTTCACAGGACCTAATGGCTGCCAAACCAGTGGCTATGACAACTTTAACTTGCTGTAATACCTAAAGAAATGTCAGAGGGGAAACAGTGCTGTGATCTGTTTTAATCTCCCTGCTCTAATGGATGCTGATGATAATGAAGGCAGAGACAGTATTTTATGTGTTTTATTTGTTATGTTATATTATGGATGCTTTAAATACTGCGGCGTCATAATGCCACAGTGCCACCCAGTGGTCAAGAGCATGTAGTGATTGAGTTGGACGAATGATTTTGTGATGTTCTCTTTGTCCCTGTGCTGCTCGTTTTTCTTGCAGACCAACGTCCTGAACAAACATCTGAGTTCTCTGATGGCCGGTCTGACTGCGAAGGTGTTCAGGACGTATAACGCCTCCATCACCCTGCAGCAGCAGCTCAAGGAGCTCACAACCAGTAACTCACACATTCACTACACCAAGTCCAAAACGCAGGATTTTATAAACTCTGGCTCATATTCCTCAGTGGCTGCATGTGCAGCAGCAGCTTTAATACTGAAGCTTATTATCAGCGTGACTCTTGTGTCGTCAGCTGACTGGTTGGTTCATGACGTCTGACGATAAAACTGCCACACTTGAGATTTTTTTATTTTTTTTTAGTTTGCTTGGTTCAGGATCCACTGACATCACTCAGCTTTTTCAGTTGTGGCAGGAGTACATTATCACTGTACCCAGCACTGTGCATCTCTGCCGCTCTCTTATCAGCGTCCCATTGGCTGCCTCTGCCACCATTTCTCATTCAGAGATAGAAGTGTCACACTCTTCTCATTTCTGGATTGCCGCTGAGAGCCAATATGCAGGCTGACATGTGGCTGCAGTGTGTGTGTTGTCTGAACCCCGGGAGGAATAGATGAAGCTAATAGGGATCTGAATAAATGAAATGAAATAGAAAAATGTAATTGTGTGTGTGTGTGTGTTGAAGGTTGAGATTTTGTGGAGCAGATGGAAAGTGTGCAGTAATAACACGAGGGATGCCAGCGTGATCTTATCTTTCTAAATTTCTGTGCATAATTTCGGTTTGATACGTGTTCCCAGATGGATTTTCTTGTTTAAATACAAATTGCTATTCTGTCGCCCTCCGAAGAGTCCGACAACGTGGCAGAGAAGCTGCTGTCCTACAACAGGGCGAACCGAGCGGTTGCTATTCTCTGCAACCACCAGCGGGCGCCGCCAAAGACCTTTGAACAATCTATGGCTAACCTTCAGGCCAAGGTAAGGGCAGCTTTACTGGAGGCAGCGATTCATCACATCGCATCAGACAACATCCTTCTGTCAGTTTATTTACAGATGACCAGGACGTAGCTGAAGCACCAGTGAATTCTTGTAACTCCCACAGCCCAGTCACTGATATTTTACATTTTACTCATGGGCTCCACTCAGATTGATACCAGGAAGGAGCAGCTCGCCCTCGCTAAGACGGAGCTGAAACAAGCCAAGAAGGAGGCCAAGAACAAAGGCAGCTCAGACCCCAAGCTGCAGACGTAAGTATTACAATAGTGCACAAAAAAAACAGCATTCAAGCAATTAAAGAGCTGCTTAGTGATCTCATCCCTAAATGTTCCTGTTGTACACTAAATCATTAGCTACACACACTCACCAGTGGAGAGACATCCTGCTGGTTTAGGTGGTTTTAATGACAGGTAGAACAGCTGCAGTGTGAATAATGAGCTACATGAAAGATAAGATCTGGAAGGTGAAATCATAGGAGTTTTGGTAAGAGCCCTCCTGGTGTCTGTGAGATGATCTTTGTTTTTTTTGCAGCACAATGAGACATCCACACATGAGCTACTGCGTCTCTGTGGGCTTTACGTTAAAGGTTATTCACGAGATGCCAAAAAAAACTTTTTTTAAAGATCAAAGCCATTTGCTGCAAAAAAAATTAATCTGATTTTTTTTTTTCTTGTACTGAAGGTGCAAAGAATTCACATGAAGCCTCATCGTCTAAATTGTAAATCTTGTTTTTCTAAATAGTTTCCCAGCCCTGACTGCTTCCTGCTGTTACATCTATTTTATTTTTTTATCAGGATGGTGGAACGGAAGAAGGCAGCAGTGAAGCGCTGTGAGGAGCAGCTGCTGAAGATGGAGGTCCAGGCGACGGACAGAGAGGAGAACAAGCAGATTGCTCTGGGCACCTCGAAGCTCAACTACCTGGACCCACGGATCAGCGTGGCCTGGTGAGTCAATAACAACACATATGTGCATGTACTTACTGGCTCCCTTAAACCTCTCCTTGGGGCCTGCATCACAAAGCAGCAGGTAGGATGTTTAGCTAATATGTGGCCTAAAGGTGGAGGCCGTCATTCTGCAGAAAGGTTGTTGATATTTCGCCAGTTAGCGATTTTATTTTTTACTTTGTTGTGCCAGATTTCCCGTCCCTCTTCCTGCCGCTCCTCCTCTTCCTCTGTGTATGAGCGTGAATGCACACAGTGTTGTATGAATTAGACCGAGCTATGTCGATTCCCATTCAGAACCAGGGCTGTACACAAACAGGCTTTATTCAGCATACACAGGACAGACTTCTCACTGATCATAAGGAGAAATCTGCTAAACTTTACAGAAACTGCACTGGATTAGAACTGCCTGCTCCACCTTAAACTAACACTCTCCAGCACTGGGAAGCTGATATACTTTAATCAGAGGAGATTACTTCGGTAACTTACCTGCTCAGGCAAGTTCAGCTCAATTGATCAGATCAGTGTGTAGACGAGCCGCCCACTGCCTGAGTCATCGCTCTGTGAGAGCTTCAAGTGGAATCAGGCGTTTGTAGAACAACAGAACGGACAGCAGCATGTTTCCACGTCATTAGACTTGATTTGCATTCAATGATAGTTTGATCGGACATTTTTGTTCTAAGTGTTTAAAACATAACTAGGATGCCGGGCCAGATGTTTACACGTACATGTAAACTGGTTTTCAGCATATTTTGAGCCTTCCAGTCCCCATCCTACCATCCTGTATAGCGAACCAGCAGAAGTGTCCCAATGCATCGTATGTCGGCTGCAGCTTGTCGTACAGCTACACGCTGCAGAGTCACACCAACAGGCTCTGACGGCCGTTTGGATGTTTATTTGTGTACAGTGTTTATTTCTGATTAAACTGCATCTCAGAAAATTACAGCATTGTGAAAAAGTCCAGTATTCCTCTATTTACCTTATGAAGGTAATCTTTGGTTTGTTCTATATTAAAGTCAAATTTAACCATACTGTCAGTGTGTCCACATGTGGAGCTCACACAGAGACGTTTAAATACAGGTCTGAGTCACTTGTTTCTCATTTCTGCAAAAGCTTTCCTAGAAAACTATTCTAATGTTCACACTACAGAAACTCAGTGTTTTTATTATGAACCTTCTGTATCTTGCAGTAGTTTGTCCGACTGTATCTGCGGCTGTTACCATCTTCAGTAAACACCAGATATACACGTAAAAACAATCACAGGTCCTAAAGGAGGCTCAGCAACAGAACCACATGTGGGTCAGATCATCTTCAGATCTATAAGAACACATGGTAGAAATATGAGAATGATGATGAACTGCCCACATGAGGGGCATGAAATGGGCAAAATTCATGAAATGTGAACATTTCAAAAATGTGTTCTTAAACTGCCATCGTGCTGATGTTCATGGTGACGACATAAACATGGTCCAACACCTCAGAAATGATCAGAAAACACTTCTGAGTGCTTCATCTGTCAGACTTTTAAAATGAGGGACTGGAACAGAGGATGTCTGGTTTTTAAAACTGGCTTTTTTGGGCCATTTTTAGAGCCTTGTTGGAAGACAAATGAAGACAAAACACCAGATCTGATGACATTTTTGGTTTCTACAGGCAGGAACAGTTCGCCCAGGATGAACAGCTTCACAGCTCCATGTGTCGTACTGTATGAGTATTAATGTCAGAAGATGGTCTGAGAGGCCGGTTGGCCAAAAGAGTTTCTTCATAGTTGTGGCACAGGAGCAGCTATCAGTTAGTTTACTCACGTTAGCGACACTGAGTTGGCACTTAAGATACCGAATGTTTGTTTAACTTGTAAAATCTATTCTGAGTGACCTTAAGCTCATAAGTCCACCTTTCCTCCAGTAAGTCGCTGCCCTGTTCTCCAACTAAAGAAAAGGCGGAAATATGACGGAGCGGCGGCTGGGATTTATGAATGGTGGGCTGCCGCTGCTAAATGAACGTAGAGGAAACACTGATACAGAACACAGAAGTGACTGTAGCTTTGTTTTCTACATGTTCTCCATCTGTACATCTCTGGGCTCGTTTATGTGTGAAAGTATTTTTTTAATTCTGATTTGAAGGTGAACTGATGGGTTGAATTTATGATTTGCCCCCCGTTTGTTCAGGTGTAAGAACGTGGAGGTACCTGTAGAGAAAATCTACAACAAAACCCAACGGGATAAGTTCGCCTGGGCCATCGACATGACGGAGGCAGACTTTGAGTTCTGACTTTAAACTCCCAAGACTCTCATAAGCCGACACCACGATGCAATTAAGGAAACCATTGACTCCATATTACATACAGTACTTTAATATTGCATTTATTGTATGTTCATGGACTACTGATGTTCATGAGGTTGTGTGACACCATCAAGCTCTGCCCTAGTGTTGTTTTGTTTACTTCTGTTCATTCGTTTGGTGCGTTTGGCACTTTATTTTGAAGATTGCTGTTGGTTGCTTTTGTTTGCATTAATTTGAATAAAGGTTTTGCAGTGAAGCGACAGAGACGTGGTCACAGTTTGTCAAAACACCACTTCTGAGCACATTGTGGTGTAAAGGCCTGATTCCACACAGAAGTTATAGAAGATGAATGCCCAATTCAGTTTAAAAGTATGATTCTAAAATGTGAATTCAGAACATTATAAACAAGGCAGACCAAAAACCATGCAACACGGAGACGTTCTAGATAGTTTTCATCATAAAATACAATTCTGGCTTGAAAAAATAAATACAGAAAAACACTGTGAGCACCTCAGAGTTGGTTGTATTTTTAAAAATTCACTCAGCACCTGGCCAAATATTTATTATGTCATACATGACAAACAGCAGTGTATTAAATAGCTCGAGTAGAAGAGTATCGGAATTGGAATGCGTCCCACACCTTTGTAGTAACAGTGCTGTTTGTCAAACACTGCGAGCTTCAGATCTTGGCTGTGGATGGAGGTTGTACCGGCCTGTTGGCCTGCAGGTTGTACGTCTCGGTACAGGCTGGGGCGAATCTTCCCCGTCAGCCATCGCCTCGAGGGATTTCAGGTGAAACAGCCTCTAGGTTTGTGCGCCAAATCCATAATCTGCATTCCTGCACGTGTTAAGTTCTGAAGGGCATATCACACTATTCTAACTTACAAATAACGTTCAACTTTTCAAGTCATTACATAACTGTAACCGTTTCACAATATTCAATATATAAAAAAGCATTTCACACAACGACACACCAAATCAATAGAAGTAAATTTCAGATTGGAAAAGTCTGCTGCTCCTGAACATAGGACCGACTTCGCGCCTCGTTAGATCTGGGAACCTGTAGGACAGACAAAAAAAAATAAAAATCCACATTTCAGTGAGCTGAAGCAGAGACTGAAGCCAAATTCATAAATATTTAAAATGCATTTTGCTAGAAATTGATGCCAACATGAAACTCTGGAGGGAGAAATGGTCCCAACACTTGTGTCTTACCTTCATTATGATCCTTGACCCTCTTTAGCTTTCTCTGGTGTTGCTTCAATCTCTTCAACACCAGCCTGGGTCATCAGGTCAGCAATGTTTTTCTCCAGGTCATCGATACGTGTGCTCATCTCATCGAGTGGAGAAGGAGTTAAGGCACGGCATTTAAATGATTTGATTATAAAGGAAGGGGGATGCAAGAAGCTACTCACGAGGCATCAATTTATTATGTCATTAGATTAAAGCTTAACTAGAATTATTCACTTTAATGCAATTTAAAAAATGAATTGGTGGCAGTTTATCTGATAGTCAGGATATTTCTCCCGATGATCTGGTCTGACATGGTCTGGAATTTGTCCTGCATCTGCTGCAGCAGTGTCTGGACCTGGGAATAAAAACAAAGTAGAACTACTGTAAGTGTTGGTGAAGTCAGAGAAGAATAGATCAACTGATGAAAGCTGGTTCACTGCAAATAGAAGCCTTACATCATCACATTTATCAGTTTGACTTTCTGGAGCTGTACATGTAAGTCATAACCCCACCAGTAGATTATTCAATGTTAAAAATACTTCTGGCACTGAGAAACCGCATCACTCTGAAGCCTCAGGTCTATGAATGAGTTTTAAAAAGCCAGAACAATGGTAATCGGCTTGTTTCCTTGCCAACGACATAAAAGCTTGGAAGCTGCAGAAGATGACTCTGATTCACTGCAACAAGCTTTTCTGTTTAACAATGACATCAGCGGTAAATGAATTTAATTCTGCACCTGTGCATCCCTTCACACGGTGCAGCTCTATGACAGACTGCTGTCTAAACTCCCAAGACACCAGTCAATGGCTTAAATTAACATCTTTTACTTGGGTGCTAAGAACTGGTGGAAAAATGTGCCCTAATGCAGTGGCTTCCTTAACAGCAGCTTCCACCAAATGTTCCCTCATGTCAGGAGGGAACATGATAACATAAGAATAAAACACAATAAAGAACCTAAAACTGAGCGCTTGGGACGGTTGTTAAAACAAACTTTGCTCGACAATTTCTGTAAATACATGACAAACATGTTTAATATTAAAGCCAGCAGAGGGTTATTAGTTGTTCTTAGTTTTGAGAAGGCGGCTGAAGCTCGACGCTTATCTCCATGACAACCCTCTGAAACATTACCTAAGACATCCTGAATTATTAATGAACACAGTTTTTACAGTGAATTATGTCATTTTAGTACGTGATACTGCACATTATTTACTAGGCTGGAGAGTGGAACAACTGCTAGAAGTGCCAGCGTTGGTACAGAAATGACATTTCTCGCGGTGTACGCGCTGCGGTTAGCTCGGCTGTGATTTGGTGATGTCATTTACGTTACCGACTGACCCATTACATAACGTGACGAAGCGTAACAACAGTCAGAGCACCTTGGCTTCATTAAAACAGCTCGAACTCACGTCTTCCGTGTATTTATTGTGCTAAAGATCAAACAAGTAGCACGAAACGGTACAGACGCGCTGGTTAAACTTTGCTAGCCAACCAGCTAACGATCGCTTCCCATCGTTAGCACTGCCGCTGCTAGCTACCGCTAAGCTACTGTAGCTAGCGTTAGCTTGCATCGCGATCACGACTCACCACATTGGTCAGGTCCTGCACCGACTTGGGGTCCGTCTCGGCCATGTTGTAGCGTAAATGACTATCTGTGGCTAAACAGGGCGGAAACTCGAAGAGCGATTCAAGCGAGTGTTTTGCTACGGAGTCTCAAACTGCTCGAGATAAACAGTCACTTGCACCACCTCAACGCACAGTCAGCTGTACCACAACACAGGGGAAGTCTCGCGAGAGTTGCGTCTCTGGCGCTAGGAAATGTGGGACATTGAGTTTTAAATGGGAAGCGTGTTTTTTTTCTGAGCCCTTAGAGACAGTTCCTGGCACATCTGATCATTTTCTGCATCCCAATAAAGCGTTTCGACTGTTATGTTTAACCTGGAGTTTGATAAGTTTGTTAAAAAAAATAAAAAAGACGGGAAAGGTGTATGTGTGCGTGCTCGCGTATACGTGCCCGTATGCGCGCACACGCCTCTCCTCCGCCTCCTCCTCCTCCGAGTTGGGATTTGAAAGTTGGAGCTGCTGCCAGGGAACCCCGAGAGTGTTTGGAAGACATTCGTGAGTGTGCGGCTTGTGTGTGTTTTGTTTTGTTTTGTTTTACGCATTTGTAAGGAAAGTGAATGAAGTGTAGTGGTGAGTAGAGCAGGAAGTTTACAACTAAAAATGTTTGCAAAATGTGAAATGTTGAATTCTGCCACAAAATCGTGATGAGCAGCGAGCAGCAATGTGCGCGCAGGGAGCGTGCTTTTACATCTCATATCACGCTTACATAAAACATGCGGACTTTCTCAGGTGATTTTAGGGAAATATTCACCTCAGGAGCGCTTATTTCGACTTTACTACGTGAAAGCTTTTATTCCAGCCTGACCAGGCGCTGTGACAGTGTCTCTGTGTGCTGGTTCTGTCGCTGCTGGGAGGCTAGCCCGGTAGCCCAGTAGCCCAGAACTGATGTCTTGAAGTTGAGGCATGTTGGCCCAACCCCATGGAGCTATGTGTGGCTTACATAACAGCCTGTTCTGTTAGAGGTGGCCCAACACGTTCAGGAAACCACGGTGAGATTGATGGTTTACCTCCACCATGAGGGAGAGAGATTGTTAAATACCTGAATAATATTTAACTTTCACAAACCTGTAAAAGCTTTTTATTTTATGGAGTGTGTTCAAAGGCTGCGGCAGGTTTACATTTACTCATTTGGTATTCCTGCCTTTGAATGGTTGGCATGACATGGAGACATAAAGTGGAGGTACAGATCACTTCATGTGCTCACAAATAAGTTTAAATAACAGATCTAGTGTGTAATCAGACTACATTTGTCTTGCATCTTATGCTGTTTAAAAAAAGAATAAGAATAATATCAGCAAACATGCATGACTAATACCTCTTAAAGTGTTCCTCCAGTGTTGACTGGCTCTCTAAGCCCCGCTGAGTGGTTTGTCAGCTGACACCAGTTACCATTATGGAAACAGTTCAGTGCATTTTTAAGCCGGCCTCCTGTTTGGTTGTTTTTTCAGATTTGACAGTGAAAATCGTCCTTGCGCTGCGTTACATCACAACACAGGAGGAAGAGTTAAACAAATCCTCAAGAATCACGCTTTCACAAACTTCCTGTGCGTCTCATTGTTTGCTCAGAACGTGCCGGCTGTGGTTTTGTGTACCCAGCAACATACTGGTTCTTACATAAATCAGAGAGTCAACAGGCCGTTTCCTGTGAACTGGAATGAAGGTTTGGCACAAAGCACGACTACTTTAAGTGCCTGAAAGGAAAAGTAATGAGGTACATGGCAGTGATGCAGACAGGACAGCCTGTATGTGTCTGACTGTGAGCATTCAGACTGAAGAACCTGCTGCAGCTCCACAGAAGTCAGTTGGTAGGCGGAGAAGCAGCCTTGCGTTTTGACTTGTTATCTCCATGCTGTGGCAGCTAATACCGACACCTCCCCCCCCCTCCGGGTCACCTCAGCAATGCCCCCAATACCCGCCTGTCATGTCTGCCTTCACTGGCTGTTGACTGTTTAACCTTTCCCAGCTCTCCACGTCCTCTCTCGCTGTGGTACATTTCCAGATCTTTGACTTCAATTCCCCACTTGTCATCGCCCATCCTGCTGATTCATAAAATGCTGCTTCAACTTTGCACGACTACTTTGACTGCTTGTGTGTATTTGAATAATGAAAAGTAATTTGCACATTTCCCCCCTGGTTTCTGAATGAAAGCTGTTACTCTTGTCCGTCCTGCACAGTCAAAATATTTCGACAGTGTAATAATTTGCTAATTAAATTACATGAATATTCAGTCAACTGTTAATAAAATACCAGCTCTGCTTATTCTCCGCCTGCGGGTCTCGAACAGTCTGATTGCAATATGACTGACTGTAATAAAAAGTCCAAATTAAATTTTCAGGCAGAGCTTTGCGGTATATGTTCATGAATAATATTAGTATAGCAGGTGGTTATTAATTCTCTTGACATGCAGCTGCTCAGAATCAGTGTTTGAACATCACAGTATGCATGTAGTTTCCTCTCTAAACAGCTTTCTTCGCTGCACCTCAAGTGTGATCACGTCTCCCTGTGACTGTAGCTTGTCTCATGTGTCTGCATTTGGGCTACAATCAGGAATTACTTGCACTTTTATTATTATTTAAGATGCAATGAATATGCATTAAGTTTGGGAAAGTTAACAAAAAAAGAAGACAATAAATATAATAGAAAATGAGTCACATTTGACTCAATGAAAAAACTATACCTAGTGCATTAGTCTGTATATTAACTTCTGTTTCCTGATTGATAAGGTTTGGTAGGTTTAGCAAAAAGCAGGAAAAGGGAAACACACTGGAGCTTAACACGAGAACTTCAGCAGATGTCGACTTAGAGAAAAACTATCTGCACAGCAGCTTCAGAAAAAGTCTGCATTCATAGATAAACAGGCGTAAATATGCAGAACAACAACTGGTCAGAGCCTGAAATGTGTCTGTTGTGTTGTTGGTGCTAACATTTCACGCTGTGGACGCTCGAACCTAAAGTCCATGTTTACCGTATAACCAGGAGCTGTTTTACATAAATCAGGCGTTTTGACTTGTCGTAGTAGAAAAGTGCTGCAGTCTTAACAGAGACTTTGTGACTGCGTCCACGTTACCTTGAAGCAGAAGCAGCTAAATGACAGACATCATTAAGTTTATTGCGCCTGTGATTTTCCCACAATGAGACGTCAAAGCGTCTTCTTTAAAAAGGCACATTGGTCAAATGTTTGACACACATTTCATGATCCCTGATGGTCTGTTTAAGTTTCTGCATTCGAGCCGTTGTGCCCGAGTCGCTGATCTGCTGTAATTAGATTTTTTTTTCTCCTGAAAGCAGAGGGTATTGTGGAATGAGGGGGGCAGTAATTCAATCCTGGCAAAAAGCAAACTGGTGCAGACATAACTGAGGCATTTAAATGTAATCAGCCTAATATGTTTCAGTGCCGTCTGACACTTTGGCAGTGTTGGTTTCAGACCCAGTCAGTGACCTCAGGCTGCCTCGTGACGCCCATTAGCGATAGCTCTCCTGAATTCCCTTTACTCTGATTACTCTGACCTGGTGTCTGTCGGCTTCCCAGGTGCTGCTGGACCTCCTGGACGCCCCTGAGACTCTGTGATGGATGCAGAGGTGGTTCTGCAGGAGGAGGACATGGAGGGCTCGTGGACGCTGCTGTCCTGGCTGGCGTCCTTCGTCATGGTGTTCGGCGGAGCCCTGCCCTACGTGCCGCAGTACCAGGAGATCCAGAGAAGCAGCAACACCGAGGGCTTCTCCACCAGAGTGTGCTTCGTGCTGCTCGTAGCCAACATATTACGCATATTCTTCTGGTGAGGATGACTGAGAAAGCAGTCGCTTTGTCTTTTTAACTTCCGTCTGCTTTACGTTCGCTTCTTTTCTCGCTTTGGAAGGAAACAGGCCTTTAGAAGAGTCACTCCTGGTGTCAGAAAGGAGCTGAATAGGAATGAAATCACAGAGTAACTTTCTACTGCACATTTCTTTTACACATGACAAGTCATTGTTGTTAATTGGAGGGACTGGAGTGGTGATTTTTTACATTTTTAATAGAATCTGGCTGGAGCGTTCTATTATTTATAAGGCCTGTCTGTGGCTTATCCTCTGCTTACAGCCACATAGCTGAGCAGAACAGTCCGGTGTGTTAACTGCAGTGTTTACATGCATTTACTTGTTGTTATTATTCAAACGTTTATTGTAAAAGACACGGTAAACATCTGCATTTACAGTTATTTTCAGATCACGGTGTAGATCTGTGTCTCTCTCGTTTTGCTCTCCCAGGATCGGGAAGCAGTTTGAGATGACCCTGCTGCTCCAGAGTGTGGTGATGATCCTCACCATGTTCGCCATGCTCCACCTCTGCTGCACCGTCCAGAACACCAACCGCGTCAGCACCAGGCAGCATCGGCTCTCAGGTAACCGACGTCGCGCCGAGTCCCCTGCGGTCGTAAATAAACGCGCTCTCACAGCTGCCACCGCGACACAATGGGACGGCCGTTAGTTTTACACACTGCAAATCATTTTAGGGCATCGAGTGACAGCATAGCAGCAGTTTAGGCGCCGCATGCTTCAACTCGTGCTTCTTGCCAAAAGAGGGAGCCATTGGAAAAGCTTCCATGACAGAAGTGCTGAGTCCATACACCTGAGCTGTGACGGCCACTTCTTTTCTAATCTTCATTTCCTGTATTTTTCACAGCACAATTGCTTTCAGCTTCTTGTTTCTACACATTAAACCACGTGCTGCTGTGTGCTATTAACAGAGCAGCGTTATGGAAAGAGCAGCATCGCAGGTAGAAGTGTGTAAGAAAGTGCGAAGCGAAGCAGAAGCGTCCTGTGGATAGATTAGCTGCCACACATGAGATTAGTCTATTCTGAGCCTGACTTTGTGTGTGTGTGTGTGTGGTTGTGTTACACATCATGTTGGTGACAAAAACCACATCCCCAGAACATAAATCCTGAGGGTAAATACTCGCTTTAAGGTGAAGGTTAGAGAAGCTGCAGTTTGGGGCAAGTCTCCAGGAAATGAATGAACATCGGCGTAACGTCCTCCAAGGTGATGGATACGTACGTCTTTGAGAGCGTGTGTGAAGAGGAGGTGGAGGCTGCAGGGTGAGAGGGGATGATGGAGCTCAGACTCCAGCATCCGCCGTGCATTGTGTGTGTTTGTGTGCACCTCGTGAACCAAGCAAGGAAACCCATCCAGGATTATGTTCAGGGTCACTCTTTATGGAGTGCTGTCTTTTATGGGTAATTGTATTTTTTACAGATGCTCGAGTTGATTGCTTTTGCAAATGGGCTGACAGAAATTCAATCTAAGTCGAGTTTTTTTTCCGTTGGATGGCAGCCTACGGAGTGAAATTGAATGATGGGATCTTGTAATGCTCTGATCATGTCGAGCACAATACATTATTAAAGACATAACTTATGTTTGATTCTGTGCTGATGGATGTAAAGGAGGGAGGATATGTCTTGGCAGTGCAAACCAGAACGTGTGTCTATTTGTTTTGCTGTCAGCGGCAAATCTTTCTAAATGGGTTCTGATGGAGGAACTGCAGATTGCGTGTATTTGGACACGAGAGTGATGATCGTCTTTATCTGTCTTGTCTCTGCAAAGAGCTGATGTATTACTCATCATCCACTCTCCTTTTCTTATGTTATTACGGCCCACGCTAAACATCTTTTGTGGTGAGTAAAGTAGTTCAGGACGAGTAGTGGCGGTTTGTCTGAGGGTGGATTCTGTGGACGATGAGTCTGCGTGCGAACCGCTCGAGTGTTCGCTTTATGTTAACCAGAGGAGAGAGCTTCGTGCACAAGTTGCTTCTTGATGACGTCGGCCAGCGTGACCGCCCTCCTCACAGCGAGCCCCCCTCTCTGAAGGGCACGCCTGAGGTCCGGTTTCGCCGAAGGGTACGACGACGAGGAGGGGGTTGGCGGGGTCAGGATAAGAATAGATCAGAACAGGCCTTCGTCCCAGCGCTCTGCTCCTCCCTCCATCCCTCCACCGCTAAGCGTTTCCAACAGATCAGGGTCGCGGCTATGTAAAGTAGCCGCTTCGTTGGCACGGTTCCTTCATGTGCAGCTATTTTCATGCGTCTTAAATTTCCTGTCGTTCCTCAGCGACTCCTCTCTGCTCTTTATTTTTCTCTTCTTTCACCTCACTTCTTTTTTTTTTCTTTTCCCACCTTCCTCCACTGTTCTTCAGTCCTCTATCTTCCTTCTGTTGGTCCTTCTGTTACAGTTTCATCTGCTCCCACCTCCTCCACCTCCTCTTCCTCCTCCTCCTCTTCCTTCCCTTAACTTCTGCCCTGACATCTGAGACTGCCAGAGTCCATATTGAGGTCATCTCTGGTCCATTTGCTCCTATGCCAACACCTGTCCTCCACTCGCTAACCTAATTTTCCACATCCTAAAGCGTCACATGAGCAAAGCCGACTAAGGAGGCAGAATGGAGAATGGCCTTTCACTTATCTGTGCGGCTGCTGCTTGCTGCTGATTTGTACCTGTCACATGCTGTTGTTGCTGATGGTGCTGAACCTGGCCGGCCTCCACCTGTTCTGCTTTTCTTTTTGAGCAGGCATCTCTTTCTATGCGCGTTATACGTCTTGGAAATTTTAGCGATATTCCTCTGCAGAGTTCTCCATCGCCTGAAGGTGTTTAATATAATTATGAAGTCTGGCAGGCTGCTTTGATTCATGTGCGCTCCGACCACAGAGCTTTTTCTGCAGAACACAGCCGGCTATGCGTTGTCGCGGTTTCCCCAAATGCACAGACGTTAGCTGAATATGAGAACGATTGTTTGAGTTTAATTGTCCTCTCTCTCTCGCTAACCTGCTGCTCTGTTTTCATGCTTGTTTACTATTGTTTCTGCTCATGCTGCGTAATGCCTCTTTAACCAGGTGTGGGTGTTGCTAGCCATTGTTGCCAGGAAACAATGCTGGCTCTCTTTTTGATGTAACCTGGGAAAGTTGGTGCCACGCCGGCCCGACTGAATCGAGTGCGGTAGTCGAGGAGGTAGACGAGGAGCTCCGGTATTGTGTAGCATCATTGTGTTGGTGTTTTATGCTCATACTTCAGCTCAGCTTTTTGTTTCTCTTGTTTTCTTTACAGTGATAGAATGCCAGTAATCTAACACTGCCACATGCACACAATAAGTCCAGCTGGAGCTCGTCTCAGACCACCTAGAGCGCTTCTGGTCCACACATATTTATGTTAGCACGGTTTTAGCTTTGTTAGATGTGGGCTCAATGTGAAATCACTTTTAAACATGCATACTTTCGATGGTATGATTCCCTCTTTTGTGTCCTTTTTCTAGGACGCTGTTAAACAAACTACCCACAGGACAAGCATTATTTGAACTGAATACATTGAAAATGCAGACTTTTTCTTTGTTTTGTTTTCAAGCTCTGGCTCTTTATTGAGGGTGAAGCTGAAAGCGAATCGGCACAAATAAACCCGGACTGAATGTTTTAGGTCACATCACCTTCTTCAGCGCTGACGGTTCTGGACGAGGTGGACTAAATATATTTTTGTGTGTCTGTGTTTTGGCTCTCCGAAGCTCTGTCTGCAGCCCTAATGCATTGATGATGCAGTAGCATCAGAATGAAAGGTCAGCGAGGTGTTTCTGATCTGCGTCAGCATTGTTGCCGTGCCCATTACAAGGTTCTCCTCACATCATCCCCATTAGAGGTGAAAGTCTGTTAATGTCCATGTAGCTGATGGTCAAAATATGTTCCGCGTTCGTTTAATAGTTAATAAACGCATCAAACATGAGGCGTCGGATCTCTAATTGTACCTTACGGACAATTAACCGCATTAAATTATAAGTTTGGTGGCTTCCAGACATGAAATTGAAGCCTGTGTGCCCCAGCTCAGTCTGTGTGATGATGTATAGCCGGAGCTGACTCAGAGTTATGACTTTGCAGTGACTTCCAGTGACCGCCCCAGGGTACCACATTAACAGTCCTGCCCTCATGATACAGGGACTGGGAGCCCGGTGGGGGGGTGAGGGGAGAGAATACACTGAAAGGCAAATGTGACCTGAGGCTAAGTGTCGGGCTCGGTGCAGCCAAAGTGGGGAGTAACTTTGAACAAATGGGAAAAAAACGAATTCCAGATCTGTGAAAACAAAGTAAAAGCAGCATTTCTATTGGATTAATCGTGAGCAATTAGCAGGATTCAGGTATTTAGTGAATTTGATCAGCCCTGAGTTCATTTAAAGGTGAAGCAACAGCGTCCTCTACTGGTCGATGTGAGTAAAGCACCAGCCGACTCTTCTAACACGTTTGGCTTCAGCTCTAGTGTTGTTTTTTATTTGCAACCTATGCACGAAGTGAATATTCTCTTAATTTTTTTCCGCTCTTTAGCAGCCCACACTCACGCCTACAAGCCCCACTCTGTGAGTCACCTCGAAAAGAGCCTCAATCGCTATTTAACATCCTGTTTGTGGGAGCCGGTGAGAGCTTGCGGACCATAAATAGACGAAGAGATGGGACTGCTGATAGCCGGCGTTGACCCCGTGGTCATCCTTAAAACCGCTGGCACTCAAGCGGCGAGCGCAACTTCAATTTGTTCTCGATAACCTCTTCAAGAGAGGTGAGGCAGAGCAGACGTTGAAAGCGTGATAAGAATTGTTTAAAGACCGTGGGCTCGCTCGGTGGCTAATTCATCAGGTGTAACGTCGCACAGTGAACTTTCGCTCTTCTTTTGTCTTCCCAGGCGACAACAAGTGGGCACATAGCGCTGTTTTCTAGAGACATATGTACAGTTCCTCTAACGCCGAGCTGAAAACTCACTGAGGAGCAACTTATTTGATCTGAAATCTACCTTTAAATGAATCAGCGTCGGATCAATAGACACATAACTGCCGCTGTGGGCTCAAGGACGAGTCGACTGTGAGGGAAAAGCTGAATATTTGACTTCTTTACTTTCCCATCACGTAGGCTGTGCACACATATCAATCTTTAACCGTTTACTCTTAAGGCTGCTTTGTGGGCTAAGTACACACAGAGACGGAAAAAAGAAAAGTTGTGAGCCTGAGTCAGTCTGCTGCCTCTTGGAGGTGAAGATGTCGACATTCCTTTGGTGTATTTGTCGATAAAAATGAATATGTGAGAGGATCTTTGACTTTTGTCTCTAACATGTTGGAATGCTGAGTCTTAAACACTTGAATGTAAAATTCTTTTGGACTTTCAAATGGTGTCACAGATTTGTTGACACATCTGCAAAAGAAAGAAATTCCTAGAAATGTTTGAAAATTGGGCTGCAAGGTGGTTCAGTGGTTAGCATCGTCGCCTCACAGCTAGAAGGTCGCCAGTTCGCGTCCCGGGATCTTTCTGCGTGGAGTCTCCATGTTCTCCCCGTGCAGCGTGGGTTCTCTCCGGGTTCTCCGGCTTCCTCCCACAGTCCAGAAACATGC